GCCCTGGGTGAAATAAAAGACCAAGGTAGCTTTGTCCCACCTTTGTAGTTGTCCAGTTCAGAAGTGGGCCAGTTTCGGGAGGGAAAGGACTGCAGCCGTTTCAAGTTGGATAAAACCTCTTCAAATGAAATGCTGGCTCCATTGAAGTCAATCGTAGAACTCCCGTTGACTTCAGAGGGCCAGGATTTCACCCTTTGTGTCTGCTGTATTACAGTCACTGCTCGAAGTCTTAAGCTCGGCATTGGGATGATACTGATTTGACCGGATTTTCATTACAGTAAGGCTTCTTTACTGTGGCAGAGTTGTGCATAAAAGCCTTAGTGTGAATGGAAATCAGACCCACTGAGCTTTGAGGGTTTCTGAGCCCCTATATACCCCCCTCCCCAACACATACACATACAAATATATGCACCATTTAACATGCAAATGTATGAAGCTTGTAAATTATGAATCAGAGGCAGCTGTTACTTCTGGGCCTAGTTCTGCCATGTGCATGAAGATTGCATCCCATCGCATCTAGTCTTTCTGACAAACAGTTTGGATCTTGCTTTGACCCACACCCAGCTTTGATAAGCCATATAATCGTCCACTAAACATGACCGTCCTTGCACTACAACACACCGGCAGAAACTGTGGAAAACCAACTAGGGATACAAGAGTCCTCTGCAAACTGATGGCTGCGTTGCATTGAGGGGGGCTCTTCTGTCTTGGGGAGATGCCTGGGAAGGAGACAAGAGCACAGACATGTTAAATAATGAATGGCCTGTGCAAGAAAAGGGGAACAAATATCGAAGGTTGCTCTTTCCCCGAGTCTCTCAGCAACGCTCGTTTGCTACTGTATGTCTGTCATCAAGACTGTAAGCTCTCAGGCATACGGTGGATTGGGTATTTGTGTCTTGTACAGTACATGCTGTTAGCACTTGACAAGTAATAAATAACAGCAACACACAAGGCAGAGAAAGACAGAGTGATTGATTGAAGGCGTGGGAGTGGGAGTTCCCCGATGTGTACCCAACAGGGCAGACAAAATTAAATTAAATCTGTGATAAACAGAGTTTATATTATAAAGGAAGTTGCTTTCTAAACTCCCTGGGTACCTGAGATTAAAATTGGCTGGTGACGAGGTTTGCTATTACAGCACAAGCCCTTAAAAAGAGCTCTTTATATGTGAAGATGAGAGATTTGAAAATTTACAGGGTTACTGTTATCAGAAACTGATTGTAATTTAAACAGAAAATTGATTGATCATGTTCGACAGAGCAGTATAGTTACACTTTAACTATTATGTCTGTCATACAGAATACTGAATGCAATTTGCCGTTATAATGCTAATTGGTACTGATTGTTTCTGTACTGATAAAACATGTAAAGATTCTTGTTTTTCTGTAGTCTAGTGCTAGGGGAATCATTGTTTTACCTCTTGACTCAAACAGAGAATTCAATTGCAGAGTACATTTTGCTAAACCCATTGGGTCTTATTTTTATCTGGCATACATTACTAGCTTGCTTTGCCCTTTCAGAACATTAAAGTACTGAACGAAAAAGTAATTTAACATTCAAGCTTTGTCACTTCCACTTACCAGACGAATGTCTGAAGAGAATTTGGTCTGAGCGCAGATCATTGGCATTCCTAAATTGGTGTTGAATTCAGAAATGAGGGACATCTTGTTAAAAAAAACCTCAAAACAAAACAACCCCCCCAAAAACAAAAAAACACAACCTTGCTGATTTGGTAAAAATAAATTACTGTCATCATTCCTCATCGAAAAGTCAAGTAGCATTTCCTTAATTTGCAGTACCAGCCTATTACTTTTACTTTTTATTTTTACTATTACTGCCTACACTATCATGCAAATATTATGGGAAATTTTATTGTGGAGGTGAGATTCTGATCCCCTAATTAATATTACATATAGTACCTTACTTTGTGATTAGGCCTATTCACTCCAGTGGAAATATTTATGTGAGCAGCTGGTCATCTGTGCAAGTAAAATGTTCAAAATCTAACCAGACTATGGAGTGTGGGCACATGCCATACTTACACTGATGTAATGTGGACATACACATGCATTACGCTAGTGTCAGGGTGGGCAGGTGACTAGCAGGGTTGCCTATAGATGTGCTTAGAGGCATGTGTGTGTGTGTGTGTGGTGGGGATGGCATTTTAATTAAAGCAGGCAGTGCTCTAATTAAAACAACTCAGCGTCATGTGTATTAAGGCCCCCTGTGTTTCAAAATGGCCACGGGAATGCTTTAACTAAAACTCATTCAGTGGGTTTAGTTAAAGCACCCCCTTGGCCATTTTGAAATGGAGGGGGCTTAAGATGCATGATGCTGAGGCGACCCTAGAGCATTCTGATTAGAACATGGAGCAAACTCAATTAATCGGGTCTAATTAGAATGTGTCGGAGCAAATCTATAGGCAGCCCAAGGTAGGAGCTGATGGCTAGTGGGGAACCCCAACTTCTTTTGTTACGGCAAGGCACCCCAGGGCTTGGGTGGTCCCAGGGGGCACTGCAGCAGTAGAGGGAAGCACCATGCCCCTGCGCAGCACAGGCAGGCAGGCAGGCTCCAGGGTGGGAGGTGGGGAAAGATCAGAGGCTCGCCACTTTTCTTGGGCCTGCCTTCCCGGGCTGCTGCCAGGCTGCCTGCTGGGCTTGTTGCAGAGCTGCGGAGCTGCACAGAGCCCGGTGCTTTGCTCCATGGCTGTGCCCCAAGTCATTTAAGGTGCATTACACCGCCAAATTTCCTACAGTGGCTGGAATTAATGGGCAATATGCCGCCGAGGAGTGCAAACACCGACACCATTAAAGCGGCGCAAAAGCATTTAGTCTGCTTTAAAGTGTTGTGCACACAAGCCTCTTGTTTCATCTACACATGGCCTATTAGTTCACCATTTGTGCTGCCGTAAAGACTTTTAGTGAGCTCCCAGGCACTGTTTGTTTCCACCCTCAGAGTCAGGACTTGATTGACTTTCCACTCACATAGGGCTACCTGTCTTGTGTTTGTTCCACATGTAAATCAGTGTAAAGCCAGTGCAAATATGTTGCATGTCCACACCCTATGCAAGAGCTCTTTGTGTCATTAACAGCTCCATTGCTCTTGTTTTCCTGTTCTTGCAGCTTACCAAATGTAAAATTTATCATTTTATTGATGCTCTGAAGGTCTATAAAGCAATCAAAGCAAACTATGTTTAAACTACAGAGGCAGTGGTAACCTTGTTTCTGCTTTAGTTTTCATGGAGGTTTCCACTTTGGGTTTCCATTCAAGCTGAAAGCGCTTATGAACAAAGAAAATGGAATGTATTGATCAATTAAAAGTATGTTGATTCAAGCCTTTGAAACCCTTTGTTCTGTTGTTTTTTCCCCCTTTTTACTTGGAGATCTGAATAGAAGAGTCTTCATTCCTTTTTAGTCCTGAGAGAAATGAGAGAAAGCTGAGATGGTCTGCTATGAAACGCAGACTTTCAGAGCTTAAGTCATGGGGTTTGGTCATCTCTGCTGGCTGAGAAAATGACCCTGGGGAAGCATGTTGAGTTGACACAGTCAAATGCTAAGAAAAGCCAGCATTAAGTTTTCATTTGTGTTGTCTGAATGTGCATGTCTGGGAAGCCTCCAGATACATGTTGTTAGTGTCTGATACAAAAGTTAACTGAATTAATTCACCGAACTGAATTAGTTCACCAAATTAATTTGCATACTTACACTTTTCAGACACCACAGCTCAGCACAGCTTGTTTGCTAAAGGTTTTCAATAAAAGGGCAATTCATGGTTTCTGTTTTATTCCCTAAATTGGGAAAGCAAAGTGAACATCAAGTAGGTACATCTGGTATTTTTCCTTTTATGTTTAAGTTAAGGATGCTGGACCAAATTCTTTACTGGTGTAAAGGCTGCAGATCTATGGACTTAGGGACATTTACCTTGGTGAATTCGGATCCTGTGCACTATCCTGCTTGCATTCACACTTCTGTTCCCTGGCACTGGTACTTATCTACATGGGGGTGGAAATGCACTGTTTGGAAGGTACAACGATGAGTAGGAGACATGAACGTCTAATTGAGCAAGATACTTGGGCACATACCTAACTTTTAAGCATGTGATTAGTCCCAGTGTCACCCTCTGACTATCCTGGACTAATCGCAAGCATAATTTCAATGGGATAGTTTGTACACTGTGCTGGATTGAGACCTACTGGAAGGAAAGAAAGAAGGGAATTGCAGTCAGGCAGGGTTCTTTGGGTAGATGTGATATATTTTATTAGATCAACTGAGTAGTCGGAACAAATTTCTTTGCAAGCTTTTGGGCACACGTACCCTTCTTCAGGTGTAGGGAGACTGCTCTCGTTCTGAGATCTCCAAGGAATGAAAGAAGAATTGCAGCCTGCATTTCTTTTTTTGGTGAAATCTGGTCTTGATTCAGTAAACTCTGACTATATGACTGTGGTGTACATCTGGATAATTTTAAGTAAAGGAACTCTTGCTGCTTATATGAATTTTAGATTTGGGGTAAAGAACAAATGCTGGGCAACCTTATATTTGGATAACTGATACTTGTGTTATTTGGATTTGCTTGTAGAGTCTTGCACTCTTTTTCCAGATGTCTTTGTCAAGGGTATCTAAGAAGATTTACAAACTTTCATGGCTTTTGTTTACTTTTCTCCATGTTATCATTCAAACATTAGCATTTTTATGTATTGCCCCCACCGTTGTGATTCCATTTGGCTCTTTGGATTTTTCAGTTCTTTCTTTCAAATCACTTGAATAAAATGTAAATGCTAGCATATCCATCTTTTTCACAATAAGGAGACACTTGCATGCTTTTGTAGGTTTCATCACATTTTTGAGCACTATAAATGTTGAAATGAGGTGTAAATTATAGTTAAACTTCAGTGTATGACAGGTGCACCATAGCCAATAGTTATATAGTTTAAAATGACTGCAACTAATTTGTTACTTGTCTGTGGGGGAAAAAAAACCAAAAATGGATTTTTTCTTTTCCAGTTTTATGTACGGGGAACTGACAGACAAGAAGACAATTGAAAAAGTGAGACAGACTTTTGACAACTATGAGTCAAACTGCTTTGAAATTCTCCTGTACAAGAAAAACAGTATGTATAAAGTTGTATGCAACTTTTGGTTAATGACGGTACATTTTGAAGATACCTATTTGGAGGAGACAAATGTTTCTTTTAACATTTGCATGCGAGTTTGGGACGCGACTTTAAAGAGTGACTTGTATTTTTTAGGTGTCTCAGTAATTCATTGGCCAGTCTGATGCTCCTTAAAGAGACAAAGTACTCAACATGTTCTGATAGTTTGGCCCTTTGAAGGCATCTCAAGAATGCTCCTTGCGTTCTTGAAGCTTTTGTGCCTTTTAAGAATCTTGTTGTTGATGGATGTGGATGAATTATAACTAGGTATAGGGGGTGGAGGGGAAGGCGGGAATGTGGTGTATGGTTCTTAAAGAATATTCCCAAATCCTGACAAGTAACAGTTCAAAGTCCAAGTGTCCGTTGAGCAGCTGCGGTGTGATTGCTTCATGCTGGGTAAAGATAGACGCTCAAAACTTGGTGAGATCAAAACTAAGTCCCCTCCAGGAATTAGTGCGAGGTATATGGAAGACAGAGTAATGCAGGAATACAATGTCCCTAATTCCTTTGTTAGAGCTGGTTGGACACTCCTGAGAATTTTCAAGAACTGGGTAAGTTTTTCATCCATTTCGTTTTGCACCCAAGTATTGCCATCCTATTCTCTGCATGGTTCTAGATCATCCGTACAGGATTGTAGCATGATATCCAGGAAGATTTGTCCAGTAGAGGTTATGAACTATGAGTTGTACTGGCCTATGCTTTTTTTTCTAAATCACTAGGTTGTGCGTGCATGTGCGTGTGTTTGAACTTGAACCTTTATTTTGGTCCCTGAAGCCAGATGCCATCAGCTCTTTGCTCCCTGTAGCCAGACCCCTGTGCCTGAATTCAGCAGCTTTCAGGATTGGGTCCATAGTTTTTCCCAGTATATCTTGGTTGTAGGAAGAGAAGAGCTTATTACAGGGGAAGGACAGACCATGTTTTCATGTTTCATAATTATATTTCATTATTACTGCACCTATATCCTGAGAAACTGAACACCAAGGCTACCTGAAATGATATTAAGATTTCCTGAAAAAATATTGCATTATGTTAGATTCAGCTTCCCTTTTTTGGATAAATCTTCCTCTCTGTCTTGTGCTCACTGAAGCAATAAGAAGTTATCCTGAGATTTCTTAAATTCTGATTACCTCCAAATATTTTAACCAATGCTTTCCTTAAAAGAAAAGAGAACGCAGCTGTAACTTCCAGCTCTCTCACTTGATTGTGTGTGTGTTTGAACTTAATCACCAACAGAGTGCTTCTCGAATGAGTCAAGGAAGCCCTTGATGTTTTCCCTTGATTTTTCTACTTCTCTACAATCCTGTCTGCACAGTCCACCTGATTACTTCCATACATTAGGGATAGTTTTCCAAGATGTGCCAGCACTGCATATCTTCATTGACACAAGCTTCCAGCACTGCCATCCTATTTCCAGCTGATTGCAAACTGAATCCTGAAATCCAGCTCTTCTCTTTGCTACCGGGTTGTCTCATTAACTAGACTGGTTGTTCCCGATTAACAGGTGTCTTAAATTCAGATACCTTTTATTTTAAAATAAAAGAAATAAAAACTTTCCCCTGATGTCTTCTCCATAACAAGTCAACAGCTCTGTGTTGGAAAGAATATTGTTTGCTTTAGCAGATCGTGTTTCAGAAATTTATTGAGCTGTAGTCTTTTTTGTAAAATCTTCACCTGCATCCAGATTTTCAAGTCTTAAGTCTGTGTTTTTATGAGTTATGTTGGTTAAGAAAGATATTAGGAAAAACTTTCTCACTAGGAGGGTAGTTAAACACTGGAACATTTTACCCAGAGAGGTGGTGGCAACTCAATCCTTGGAGGTTTTTAAAACCAGGCTAGATAAAGCCTTGGCTGGGATGATCTAGTTGGTGATGGTCCTGCTTTGAGCAGGGGGTTGGACTAGGTGTGACCTCCTGAGGTCCCTTCCCACCCTCATTTTCTATGATTCTACATTGGAAGGTCTTTTAAACAAGAAAAATCCTGAGTGTAGGTTATAAGCTCATTTTCCTTCAGTCTCGTATCAGCTCTTCTTTTTATACTAATAATCTGCTGGTTTGTCTCAGCAAATGCATTTTCCAAAGCTTGGCTTTGTTTTGCCATAATGTGCACCCTTTTTCCTGCAGGTTGACAAAACACTATTGTTAAAGTGAGCATGCATACATCCTCAAAAGCACATTTTAAAGTTAACAGTGTAGAAAAAAACACATAACTCACATTCCTTTTAGTACATTTGAGGAAAATACAGTCTCTTGCTGGATTGAAGGCTTTCTGCTTTTGCCTACTGGAGACTGAGTACTGCCTTTCATTTGCACTGAATTCACTCTGATTTCCTAGGCCAATGAAAGTAACACCCAGCATTCATTTTCAAGCCCTTGGCCTAGGTGTGCTAGGTGTCTTTGTCTATGTGATGCGTGTTTTTCTATTCAGTGCTTCTGTTTCTGGCAGCAACTCTGATTTAGATTTTGCATCTTTTACCTCTCCAAAGGGCAGTATCTATGGGACTTCTGGTTTCAGACATTTTCCACAGGACTGCCGCCCTTGGCCACTTCCTTGGCATTTTAAACCAACTGAGATGATGGCTGCCTGGTCTGCCCATGCTGGCCAGAGTTTCTTGTGCTTCTGATTGAGCAGCTTATCCAAGAGGTGCACAGACCTTCCCTAGGAGTAAGGATTAGGGTTTTATACCTCAAGTTGGCCATTGAAAGGTGGAATATTAGAGTGATCAGTGCAATGTCTTTGGCTTAAATGCCGAACAAATGGCCTTCCCTCTTTAGTGGTAGTGTGACACCAGTTTAATCCCAGATAATTCAATGTTGCCAGATTGAATTGCTCTTGTAATTTTGCCTTTGCTCACATTAAAACTATAATAAACTGCTATTTACCTTGTGGGCACTGGTACTACTCCTTGGAGCAGTGCATTGTGGGCGCTGACAGGCGTGCAGCTCCCCGGTCTAATCCATGGTGCTTCACAGAAATCACCATGAGTTAGACTGACCTTCCCGACCCAACAGACTTTCTTTGTTGAGTCAGGAGGGTGAGGGATCGAGCTCCATTAGGAGCTGATCCAGCTGAGGAGCTACTCTCCCGAGGCGGGGAGGGTGGGGCGGGGTGCTCCAATCCACCCACACCCCCTCTAGTGTAGGCTGAGCAAGCCCCAGTCTAACCTCTCTCCCCTCAATTCTCCCCCCCTCCCATTGTGCACACAGCACTGGGGGTGGGGTAGGGCTGCATTAGCCCAGCCACCCAATCAGACAGAAGTTAATGAAGACACTCCACTTTGGAGCACCTTCATCTGAACCCTGATATAGTGAGGGTTAATTTGTCATGTGATTGGGGACTTTTAAAGTGTTCTGCAGCTGTGCCCTTCTGTAAGTGTGCTTTCAAGGGGCCAATCATGAGACAAATATAACTTCTGTCTGCGCCCTGTGAGGCAGCTGCTAATGTGACCGAGCAGGGGCTAGAAAAGGTGCCCTAAACCTAAGCTGTCTTATCTGCTCTTTCCTGGATAACTGCATCCAGTGGAATCACTGTGGTAGAAAACATCCCAAGAAGTCAATGACTTTTGCAACATGGAACATTTGCATCCCGATGGGTAATCAAATTAATGAAGAACCAGAAAGAATAACTGCCACTGCCATCATTTATAGGGGACTAGTGAGATACAGCATTGGCATTGCATCTCTCAGTGAGACAAGACAACTGGATGTGGTCCACTGAAGGAAGAGGGTGGAAGCTGCTACACCACTTTCTGGAAGAGGAAACTGGCCCAGGACAGATGCGTCCGTGGTATCTGCTTCAGCATCAAGAATCAGCTTGTCAGTCAACTTACAGAGCTTCCTGTGGGCATTAACAAATGTCTCATGACCCTCCATCTTAAGCTCAGCAAGAACCAGTACGCCACTGTCATCAGTGCCTATGCCCCAACGCTTGATGCTGATGTCAAAGAACAATTCTACTCCAACCTAGACCATGTACTGACTGACGCTCACAAGGAGGATAAGATAATTTTTGGTGACTTCAACACCAATTGAACATGACCTGGGACCCTGGAGTGGTGTCATTGGGAAGGAAGGAATAGGTAAAACCAACTCTAGTGGCATCTTCCTGAGCAAATGTGCAGAGCATGGTCTTGTCATTACAAACACCATCTTCAGACGGTGACAAATACAAGACCACCTGGAGACACCCTCAGTCTGAGCACTGGCATCTTCTCGACTATGTTATTGTTATAGACTGTGATCAAATGACTGTCTGTATCACATGAGCTACGCAAAGAATTGATGACTGCTGGACAGATCGCCTCTTCTTGGATCCATTATGAACATCTGGCTTGCTCTGAAATACTGAAAATAATCAAAAGCAATACAAAGGACCCTGAACACCAAATCACTTCAAGATCTGAAGGTCTGTAAGGGTCTCCAGTAGTGTCTCCATGAAAACCTCTCTGCCCTGTCCACAAATGAAGACAACACGGAAGAACTCTGGAACAGGTTTAAAACCACTGTCCATATGGCCTTTGCTGAATCCATTGGCTGTACCAGCTGTCAATACCTAGACTGGTTCAATGAGAGCAATGCCAAGATCCAAGCCCTCCTCAACTGGAAGAGAAAGAGTCATTCTGTTTGGCAAGATGACACCTCATCTCAGCACAAGGAGATTTATCAGCTCCTTAAAGTAACAGCTCAAAGAAGGATCCAGGGAATTAAAGATCAGTGTTGGCAAGATGAAGCTGAGGAGATCTAGCTCTATGCTGACAAGCATGATGTGCTTAGTTTTTTCCAGGCAATGAAAGCAATCTTTCTGGAATTGATATTGAATGTAGGAGGATGGAGGGCTCTTCACCCTAGAATGTTTTTGCTTGAAGACCAAAGTACTCAAAACAACCATCTTGGACCTTCAGTAAGATAATGGCTGTGCAGTCCTTGAGCACACTGAAGAAAACTTCCAGACTGCACTAGGTCTTTTCAGAGAAGCCTACTGAACTTTGGGCCTCTCTCTCAACATGGAGAAGACTGAACTGCTCCATCAACCTGGCCCAAGCAGTGAATGTGACCCCTCTACACCGATTGCCATTGACTGAAAGACCTGGAGGTAGTTGAGCACTTCCCCTACCTCAGTAGCTGCCTGTCAAAGACTGAACATTGAGGAGATGTACTGGTATGTCTTTATTCATTGTGATCTCTGGAAAGATGCCAACATCCAGGTCTACAAAGCAGTCATCATCCCCATTCTTCTCTATGGATGTGAAATGTGGGTGACCCACCACTGTCATTTCAAGCATCTGGAGAGGTATTACCAGTAATATTTCTAGAAAATCCTCCACATTAAATGGGAAGATTGCCACATAAGTGCTTTGCTGCCAGCATCCTTGCTGAAGCCAATGTTACTAGCATTGAGTTGGTGATCCTCAAGCACCAACTGCAGTGGACTGGACATTGTGTGCAGATCTCTGACTCTCAACTCCCAAAAGAAGTGCTCTGCTCCCAGCTTGGTAACAGCCTGAGATCTTGTGGTTGCCAGAGGAAATGCTACAAGGACACATTGAAGGCATATCTCAAGAAAATGGATGCTTACATCAAGAGTTGGGAAGAGCTGACTGCTTATTGACTCCAATGAAGCCACAACCTCAACCAAACAGCAGCCTGTTTTGAAATAAAGCATCTTGCCCTCGAAGCAGAGAAGAGAGAGTGGATGAGGAAAAAGAAGAGAAATCCCAGCCTGCAGCCTTCTCTCCCCTATGGAAGGACCTGCAACTTCTGTGGACTGATCTGTGGCTCAAGGATTGGACTCCTTAAGTTGTCTGAAGACTCATTAATGAACCATAGTAGAAATCATCCTCGAATTGAGGGATTGCCAACAACAACATTGTGAGGGATTTTGAAGGGTCACTGGTGCCTTGCGGGATACCAGTGGGCAGGCTAAATGTTTCACCTGTTGTGCCCATACTGCCCCTGATGAAGAACAAAAGGCATTTAATGTGCAGGCATGCTGTTTGGCACCTGTCTGTGGGTGGCGGTAAGGTGCGTGAAATGCTTGTTGAGAGGGCACATGGCTGTCAGTGTATTAGATTTTTCTAGTGTAAGTTTTGTTGACACAGAATCAGAAAATGAGGGTTTGAAGGGACCTCAGGAGGTCGCATCTAGTCCAACCCCTGCTCAAAGCAGGACCAGCCCCAACTAGATCATCCCCAGCCAAAGATTTGTCTAGCCAGGTCTTAAAAACCTCCAAGGATAGAGATTTCAGTCCCTCTCTGGGTAACCTGTCCCAGTGTTTTACTACCCTCCTGGTGAGAAAATTCTTCCTACTATTTAACCTAAACTTCCCTGGCTGCAACTTGAGACAGACCATAGCAACTTCAGACAATTGCTCTTTGTTCTGTCTTCTGCTACCACTGAGAATGGTCTAGCTCCATCCTCTTTTGAACATCCCCTTCAAGTAGTTGAAGGCTGCTATTAAATCCCCTCTGTCTTCTCTTCTCTGGACTACATAAGCCCAGTTCCCTCAGCCTGTCTTCATAAGTCATGTGCCCCGGTCTCCAAACCATTTTTGTTGCCCTCTGCTGGACTCTCTCAAATTTGTCCATATCCTTTCTGTAGTGGGGGGCCCAAAACTGAACACAGGACTCCAGATGTGACCTCACCAATACTGAATAGAGGGGAAGAATCACTTACCTTGACCTACTGGCAACATATCTACCAATGCAGCCCAGTATGTTGTTAGCCTTCTTGGCAACAAGAGCACACTGCTGGCTCATAATCAGCTTATTGTCCACTGTGACCCCCAGGTCCTTTTCTGCAGAGCTGCTGCCCAGCCAGTCAGCTCCCAGGCTGTACCGGTGCATGGGATTGTTCTGTCCTAAGTGTAGGGCTTTGCACTTGTCCTTGTTGAACCTCATGAGATTATGCACATTCATAATTGACTTGAGCCTTTTGAAGTCAACTGTTTGAGATCCCAAATCAATAGGAATAAAATACACCGCAGTGTGCCACTGACAAGCATGGATTATAAAACCAGAGTGCGGCACAAGTCTTCTGCTGCCTGTCTGCACGGGGTTAAATTTCACCCTGTGCAGAGTAGGGCATGGGCCAGTGTCATTCTTCTCTGCACACATAATAGCCCACTGTAAATACTGAGTGTATACCAGTAAGCATGCTGTATTCCTGCCATGGACTTAGACAGCTGCTATTTTAAACCATCTCAGCACTGTAGATATGTTTATAATTGGTTGTTTGACCAAAGCAGTAGGATGGTAAAACTATTTTGCCTTTAATTAAAATGCTAGGAGAAAAATGCACCATGGTGAGAAGCCTGGGGTGGCTGGCAATCGGAGTCCTATTTTTTCTAGGGACTGGGATCTAGTGATTAACCCAGGAGACGGAGGCAGATCACTTGGGTTCTATTTCCAGGACTGGGTGGGATCCTCTTTGCCATGTGTCAAATTATGGGACTTGTCACATTTGACTGTGTCCTCCTAGTTTAGAGAGAATTCAATAGCTTTGATTTTAAAAAAGATGACCCTCAGAGAGGAAATCTGGGGAGAGGAGGTGGGGAAGGGAGGGAGGATGGGAATGGTGGGGAGCTGTGTTTTAATTTGTCTTTAATGGGTAAAGAAGGTTCCAACATTTCCTATTTCCTTTATTTTTTTTCTTTTTAAATATTGGAAAGTCTTGCCTACCCTGAGGACAAGAACCACACTAAACCCAAGGAGGGTAAAATATGGTGAGGCAAAACCGGGAATAAGAAAGGAGGAGGAAAGCTCTTCATTCCAGGGAGGAGATTGTGTTTCTGTGTCTGGTTATGAGGAAATACTACCAAGCCAGTAAACTCATTTTCATGATTATGAGACTAAATTAACATATCATAGATTCAAAGATGAGACTGATGAACTGGCATATATACAGACACCTGAACAGTGTAGTATATGAGTCTTTTTTAAGAATCAGTCTTTAAACCATGCAGTGCTCTGTGTATAAGTTGTGAAAAGCTGGTTTTGTACCACATGACATGTTCTGTTTTTTTTCCTACTCCAGGAACCCCAGTTTGGTTCTATATGCAGATTGCGCCCATAAGAAATGAACACGAAAAAGTTGTTTTATTCCTGTGCACTTTTAAAGACATCACTTTGTTCAAGCAACCTATTGAAGATGATTCAACTAAAGGTAAGTTTAAAATACGTCACTGATATTAAAATACACCTAGCCAAGTTGAACCAGAAGGCAGAAGCAAGCAGTGACTGTGAAACTTTTCTTGGATTTAGGACACGCGTACCAAGATGCAAAAGTTGTGTTGCTCTGGTAGATTCTGGCATAAAAGTAACAGAGAGAGAAACTGCTGTGTATGAAACATTAGCTCACAACATACTGCAACCAGCACTAGACAACCCTTTTCTGTATCATTTCCCTGCTTGTTTCCCTCTAACTGGTTTTTGCTAGAAATTAGAATCATTTAAAAATATTGCTGTATTTTTTCAGGAGATTGAAAAATATTAAGTATCTTTCTCCAAGGCGATTGCTATTTTCTGTTAAGCAGTGCTTTTTTTTACCCTCCTTTTTGCTGAGATGTGGAATTTTTTTTTTCCATTGGAGGTAAAATTACAATAAAATGGCCCATTCTGCTTGTTTCTTGTGTGCCACTGATGATGGCAGGACAGCTCTGATTTTTGTGCTTTATTGGTTAACAGATGCTACAGATGGTGTTCATTTAGAGGAGCAATTCAGACAGACACTCAGAGCCAGGGCCTCAAGCCTTACGCAAAGCCACCTGCTAGGAAGGGGTGTACATGATTTGCTTGTACCCTCTATCTGGATTTTAAGGCATATTTGTGCCTTATGGCTGCTCTGTGCCAAGTTTATGTGCACGTTTGATAACTGCTGTTACAGTGCACTTAAATGTATGAAGGAAATACGTTGCTGAATATACATCCTAGTGGCTCTAGGACCTTTGCTTTTGCTAACTGAGTCTTCAGTTTATTTATTGCAAACTTAACAAAGGCTGTGTTCCCCACTGAACACTGTGAACCCTCACTTATTTTCCTCTTGGTCTGGTCTAACAGCAAACAAGCAGGGTTCAAACTGTTTCCTTACCATGCAGATACATTTTCATAGATTCATTCATAGATGTTAGGGTCGGAAGGGACCTCAATAGATCATCGAGTCTGACCCCCTGCATAAGCAGGAAAG